CAGTAGTAAGTGTCCAATTTAAAAATTATTATTTATTCACTAAATGAAGCTTCTACTTACTATGTACGTATTTATATATGTTACACATTTGCGTCTCTTCTTGATACAATAGATAACCAAACAGTTGTTAAGATCTAAAATAGTTAAAATCACTGTATATCCAGGTCTCCTCATACATTAGATTTGGCCCTAGGTTTTCATAATCCCTATTGTGTTTTCATGCTTTATTTAAACATAAACAAATGATAGAGAGTGTATCTGTGGGAGTTGCTTTGTGACTCAAGATCATATCTACCACCAGGCTGTTTTACTTACCAATTAAGCTCATTGAGCTTTTACTTCTTTATCTTTAAGGAAGAGGTAATGATATTGACACCAAAGTACTGAAGAGCAACAGTGTCATTTTGGAGACTAAGTTGTATCTGGTCCAAGCCATAGTCTTTGCACTTACTTGCTATGAAAAGATGAAAGAAGGAGAATTAATGCTTTTGAGCTCTGGTGTTGGAGAAGAGAATTGAATATACCATAGACTGCTAGAAGAACAGGTTCATCTTAGAGAGGGTGAAACCAGACTGCTTCTTGGAGGCAAGGATTCTGAGGCTTCATCTGACATACTTTGGACATGTTGCAAGAAGGGAACAGTTCTTAGAGACAGACATCATGCTTGGGTGGGTGGAGGGGCAGCTCAAGAGAGGAAGACCCTTGATAAGATGGATTGATTCAATTTCTGGGATAATTGGGGTAGGTGTGTCAGAGACAAGAAGATTGGCATTAGATAGAGCAGGGTTTAGGGCTGCTGTCCATATGGTTGCTATGAGTTACAGGTGAGTCAATGGCACGTCACAACAACAACAACAATGATATTGACTCCCTGCCCACTAGGTACTTTAAATGGTGTCCTCTGTAGAGTTAATGCTACTGACCCAAAGGTCTCACCTCTGATTGGATTCACCAGTGTCTCTTTGGGAGAAAGACAGACAATCTCCTCTCATGCAATTTATAACTTTGCTTACAACATGGTGGTTCAGTTCCGGTTGGAACCAACTTGAAGGCAATGAATTAAGTGAAGCTAGATAAATAAAGCAATATTTGACGACTGAGATGCCAAGGCAAGATGTCACATGTGAAGTACATCGAATGACACACGGGTGCTGCAGATTAAGAGAGGAAGTCCTAACAGTCTACAGAGAGCTGGACAACAGGTGTCTGTGTTAATATAAGATGTTTACAACATTATCAAGTTAATTAATTCATTAAAGAGATCATAGGAAAGTCTTCCTTTGATGTCATTACTCTCTGAGTGTTATAAACCTTTTGTCACTGTGAGGGTCTTCACAATTCTGTGACTGGGCGGTCACTCTCACTAGTGAACGAGTGCCTCGCACAGAGTCATGCTAGTGGATTTTTCGTATTTCCTATGGTCCATCTGTATATTGCTTTGTTCAGCTTGCTGGTTGATTTTTGCCAGTAATCCCCTGAACTTAGAGACAACATCTTGATTATGGACATGTTTTTCTTCCCTCTTGCCCTTGGTCTTGAATTGGTCCTCAAATATTAATGCATGATTGTCATCAAAAGAAATTATTAGGTGACAGATCTTGATATTTATTTTTTTTATTCCATCATTTTGTGGCCTTGAGAAATCTGTACTTTAACTGGCTCTGAGTTGAGAAACACTGCCCGAAACATCATCTTTAAAATAAAGAGAGAGAATTTCTCCAGAAATACAAGCTCCTTCAAATGTCCCCCCCTCTTGTGCAGGTGATTTCCCTTCATCCAGCTAAGCCGTTCCTATCCTTTTACTGATTTATTTCACTCCAGTTTTCTCCAGTTGATTTATCTTTCCTCTTTCTGCATTCTGCAGTAATAAATTAAGAGGTTTGCTTAGTGGTAAGGTGTTGTCTTTTAATCAAAAGGTACATAGTTCAAAGCCACCAACCTTTCCTAGGGAGAGGGAAGGGCAAGCATCTTGTGTGTGATTTAATATGCATGAAAATCCACTAGAGGGTCAGCTATGAGTTGGTTCTGACTTAACAGCACATAATAACACCAACAATATCAACAATGTAAATGGGAGCTTTGGTGGTGTAGTCCTATAAAGAGTTATACCCTAGCCCAAAGCCTTTCACTCAGTTATAATCCAGTGGTGGCTTTGAGGGACAAGGATAGGTAACCTCTTTCCATGTGAGTTACACCCTTGGGAACTCAATAGAGAGTCAGCTATAAGGTTTTTTTAATGTGTGAAGAAGTATAGCCTATTGTTGTTAGATGACATTAAATTGAGTACGACAGTGACCCTATGAAGAGTAGGCCAGAATACTGTCATATCCTGTGCCACCCTCACAATCTTTGGCACATTCAAACTAATTTCTGCCGTCACCGTATCAGTCCACCTGGTTGAGGTTCTTCTTCTCCTTTGCCATCCCTCCACCTTTCTAAGCATAATGCCCCTCACCAAGGAATAGCCTGTCTTAGTAGCATGCCCAAAGTATGAAAGACAAAGCTTTAATGTCTTTGCCTCCAAGGAACTTTCTGGCCGCACCTTCTCCAAAATAAATCTGTTTGTTCTTTTGGCAGTCCATGGGATATTCAGTACTCTTCTCTAACACTACAACTCAAAGGCATCCGTTTTCCTTCTGTTGTTCTTATCCATGGTCCAGGTGTCAGAAACATAACAAGGGACTGAAGACCATAACCTGAATTGAGCACACCTTAATCCACAAAATGATACTTATTTTGTAATTTTCCATCCCTACAGCATGGACTGCCAAGAAAACAAACAGATTCATCCTGGAGAGGGTTAAACCAAGCTACTCCTTGGAGGCAAGGATTCTGGGGCTTTGTCTGACATACTTTGGACATGTTTCAAGGAGGAACAGTTCCTTGGAGAGGGACATCATGCTTGGGAGGGTGGAGGGACGATGCAAGAGGGGAAGAACCTCTAGGAGATGGATTGACTCAGTGACTGGGGTAATCGGGATGGGTGTGTCAGAGGCAGTGCAATTGGCACAGGATAGAGCTGGGTTTAGGGCTGTTGTACATAGGGTTGCTATGAGTTGCAAATGACTCGATGGCACATAACAACAACAACTACAGCTGAGTCAGAAACAAGTTGACAGCATGTAACTACAACAACATAACCAGCTTCAATGGGAAATTGTATAAAATTAAAATACCCTCCTACTTTTTAATCTATCAAGAGTCATCATGGGGACATGGGCCATGTGGCTCAGAGATGCTCATATGTAACATGTTCTCTTTGTGGTGTTAAGATTGATGAAGATTGTTTTTCTATGTCTTAAATTAGGATGAGCTATAGATTTTCATTTCCCCCTATAGACAGAGGATGAAAAGATTCTAGCTTTTCTAACTCTAAGATGTGTAGGTGATTAGCTGAGTATAGTATATGAGATTATTGTCTTGTATGTAAGTGTACTGTCCTAGAAATGCGACTAGATCTTTTGGTGACACATTCCCCCTCACCCCCATTGTTCTCTCTCAGAAATACTCCAGGGCACTATTTTCTGTGGAGGTATAGTTTTTGATATAATAAATATACCTTCTCTTCTTAATGATTTTCCATCTGCCTCTAACATCTTGTGAGAAGACCTTTAGGCAGTTGGTTTATATGAAGTCAGGCTTCACATTTGGTTGGAAACAGGGTGGAAGAATTGTGTGTATGAGAGGCATAAACATGTTGTATGCATTAGCTTGAGGGAATCTTTGCTGTATGCTGATTTTATGATATTTATTGTAATTGAGAGAGCAATGACAGTTCAGTGGTAGAATTCTCTCCTTCCACGAGTGATACCTGGATTCGGTTGTTGAAGCACAGCTCTCACTTGTCCATCGCTGGAGTTTTGTGTGTTGCTGGGATACTGATCAGGCTTCAGTGAAGCTTCTAGGCTAAGACAGACTAGAAGGAAATGCCTGATGATCTACTTCAGAAAGTCAACCAATGAAACCCTGTGGGTCACAGTGTTCTGACCTCGTTGTATATGAAGTCATTCATGAGTTAGCAGCTGACATGACAAGAGTTTACAGCATTGTAACGAAAGTTCCATAGCTCTATAGGACCTTTAGATATCTTCTTCAATTCATATCAGAAGTGACTGCTGACTGCTTTCTGTGGTTTTTCATCCTTGTTCTGAAAAAAAAAAAAAAAAAAAAAGCAAAAAACCCAACCACCAAAAACCTCATGACTGCAGTGTGACTGTGATTTAAAAGAAAGCCAAAACTTCTGAGACCGGACCACTGGGGATCAGGAGGGCCTGCTTTACTCCTCAGGGCACCTTCTCTCAATGCTCTGGCAACCTTCTCTCAGTCTCACTTTTTGGTTCTGTCTCAAAGATTCTAGGCTACTTACTTGTCATCTGAAGTCAGTCAGCATTTCGCCTCTGCCTGAGATTTGTTCAGCACTGATGCATCGACCAGAGAGGGAATGGAAAGAATAACATAAAAAAAAGTGGAGTAGGAGCATGAACCCAAGCACTAAGGAAGAGGAATGTTCCTATAAAACAGGGACACTCGGCGGTAAAGCCTGTGAAAAATGATACCAATTACATAAAGTAAAATGTCACCCATCAAGCCAAACATTTTAATTCTCCCTGTTCTGGCCTATTTATGGCTTTTAGTCCAAGACTCAATACATGTCAGAAAAAAACAAAGAAATATAATAGACACTTTCTGTTGGGTGGAAGGGGCCCTGTGTTGGAGAGAACAAAAGTAAGAAAATATAATAGTTCAATAGTTCATCACTGAACAATTCCAGGGTTTCTACACAGAGACATTTCTTCAGGTATAACTTTGTCCTTTCATTAGTTTTCCCTGTTTGAGTTGATTGTAAGAGCGAGAAAAAGATGACTGATTTGATTTAGACGTTTGAAGTAGATTTTGATTAAATTTGTTTCCTTTAAGAAGTTTTTCCTTGGTGTATCACCTGTAATATACTGTAATACAACAAACAAATCAATTCAAGACAAAACCTGTCTGTTTTCCAGGGCAACTTTTCCTTTCAGTTCTGCTGGAGATGGTCGAGGGCACACAGCTGGTTTCCTGACGGAGTGCCACAAGATGGCGACAATGTCACGGTGGAGAGTGGCCAGCTGCTACTGCTTGACACCAACACCAGCATCCTCAACTTCCTGCACATTAAAGGTCTGTGGTGTTTACGGAGGCCCGGCGTTCTGTCTGTAATTCCACCACCCTTTCAAGGGGCTTGAGGGAAGGATGCTTTTTTGCTACGTTCCAGAACTTGGTCAACTATTTGTTTGCAGCTCAAATTGAGACCTTATTATGAAAAGGAAGAAGTGGTCAGAGGGTTCAAAGTGAAGGCCCTTTCTTTTGACTCTTGTAAGCACAGAGTTTGATTATATTATATTATTTTATTTTTTTTAGAAGGGTAACAGCCTTCTTAAAGAATCTGCTCCTTTATTTGAGCACTTTGTAGTCATGCTTATCCAGGGCAGCCCCCACAATATAGCAAAAGGCCCTGAAATTGCTTAATGCTGCTGCCTTTGAAATTCCCTGCCAAGAAAGCAATGTCTTCCTGCTTCTGCCCTGTTGTGGTTTTAACTTTTTGGTCCCATGGAAAGTCATATAAATAGGCTTTCTTATTGCAAAATCGGTCACAGAGCTCTAGGGTCTAGGAAGTTGGAAGAGGCTGAGAATTCAAATTTTGGCTTTTCCACCATATCACCAAGTGACTTAAACAAGTAATTTTATATCTTTTGTGCATTTGTTTCCTTTTCTGTTAAATGAGAATAAAAACTATTTTCTACTTGAGTAATAATGAATGGCTAACCACAGTGACTCTTTTTATTGTCAAATGAAAATTTCTTAGGAAGTGTGATTGATAATAGCTACCTGTCAACTAAAACACTATTCTTCCCTATAAATGTGTTTAATACTTATATGAACAATTGTTCTTGTTGAAATGAAAGCATTGCTACATGGAAGCTTAGAACATTTTCAAAGGATATAAACTGTTATACTTCTAATTCTTGTCTCATATAGACTGAATCTGCTTTTTGTTTTTGTTTCTGAGTAGACATTTTGTCACTATACGATGTGGAAATGATTGTGTTCTCCAGAATTAAGAAACTTCATGCTAAATTAGTTAATTAGTGACCTTTGAGGGAAAACTGGTCAGTCAGCATAGACTTACTTGTCTTGTGTGCATGTGTATAGTGTGGATATATGTGTGTGTGTGGTGTGTGTGCATGCATGCATGTCTTTACACATGTATGTGTGCACATGCATTCATGTATTTACACACATATGTGGGCATACATGCAGGTATTTACACATATGTGCATGTGTGTATGAATATGGATTGTGTGTATAGGCAATGGCTTTGACGAATGCTGTTTTATTGACACCCATAAACTACCTTACATAACAATAACAAAGAAAAATTAAAGTCAGGAAGCCATATGTTAGAAAGAAGAAGTTCTTTATGGCTCCTTAACTAATACTCTACCTATAAGTGTCAAATTCTATTGAATGATGGCATGATCTTCCATAGTTTGGGGTCTATTTGGAAAATATTTCTTAGGCAAATTGCCCACGAGAGTTGGTGAGGTATAATTTCTAACTAAATGTTCAATCAGGGAGCGATGTTGTGGGGGTCAACAATAGAAAAGAGAAATCAGAGAGATATAAAAGGGTAAGAGAAATGCAGCAAGGTAAGCACAGTATGTACTAGGTTTTCACTCTTGGAGAATCCAAGGTCACAGCAACCCAAATATTTGCCCAAACCCGTTGTCTACAAAAAGTGTTTTCCCTGAACATTCCTAGGTTAGACCATATTTTATTCTCATGTGAGAATGATCAATTCTTTTTAGTCACAATTAACTACATTTATTATTTGTACTTGATACATTGTTATAACTGCAAAAAAAGGGCAAATGTAATGGATTAAATGGTTATTCTTTAATACTGAAGTATTTACTTAATCTTGTAATGTCTCCCCCCCATTATGCTTTGACTGAAAGTCTACAAAGCAAATTGGATTTTTCATTAAATTGTTCACACACATCTTGTTTTAGAACATTAATTACAATACCCACAATGTAATTGTACTTTGCCCACTTTCTCCCTATAATTCTCATTTCTATTAATCCTTCTAGCCTACTTCTTCCTGCTTCCAGGACTCCATCCTTGTGAAAATGCTTTTGACCTTATCTGATTCATTAGTATAAGGACTGAATTCCTCTCTAGTCTTACTGGTCACCTCGTAGGTCTATTCCCCCCCCCCCGCCCCCCATCAGCATTTATTAAAAAAGAAAAATATGGAATGCTTCTCAAATTTGCATATCATCTTCGTGCAGGGGCCATGCTAATCTTCTTTGTATCATTCCAATTTTAGTATATGTGCTGCCAAAGTGAGCACCTCATAGGCCTATTGTTGGTTGAAAACTGAACCTCAGGAGCTAGTTGTGTTCCAGGTTTGAAAAGTAATCAAGGCTCACAGTCTTGGGACTTCTACCAGTCTCCATCAATGAGATCGGCCTTTTTATAGTGCTCACCAGTGGTTGCTGGGCCCTAGCCTGTTCTGGTTAAGGATTAGGGAAGTTGGATTCATGTAGTCTTTTAGTCCTTTGGACTAATTGTGCAGTATAGCTTTGCTTCCTACCCCCCTTCTTCCCTTCTTTATTCTGCACAGGTAGAGACCAGTCATTACATTTTAGATGTATTTTTTTTTTCTAGAACATAATTCACTTTATTTGTTATAGAAAATCCACTAGGTGGTGGCCACAGCTGGAGCCTGAGTCCTCTGCACGGAGACTCTGGTGTGAGTCTTGACAAGATGATCTGTGAATTCCTGGTAGGGAGACTTCGTGAACACCGTCTCTTTCCAGAGATCTGGGGTCAGATAGCTGTAGGTCTTTGAGATGGCATCAAAGGTGGCCTTAGCAAAGTTGCCCAGGGTAGCTGTGCAGCCCCTGGCTGAGGTGTAACAGTCATCAATTCCAGCCATCATCAACAGCTTCTTAGGCACAGGGGCCGAGACGATTCCAGTGCCTCGGGGTGCAGGGATCAGACGCACCAACACAGAGCCACAGCGCCCAGTCACCTTGCAGGGAAGGGTGTGAGGCTTGCCAATCTTGTGCCCCCAGTAGCCACGCCGCACGGGGACAATGGAGAGCTTGGCTAGGATGATGGCCCCACGGATAGCAGTAGCCACCTCCTTGGAGCACTTGACGCCCAAGCCAACATGGCCGTTATAGTCTCCGATGGCAACAAAGGCCTTGAATCTGGTCCGCTGGCCAGCACGTGTCTGCTTCTGCACTGGCATGATTTTCAACACCTAATCCTTGAGGGACATGCCCAGGAAGAAGTCGATGATCTCAGAATCCTTGATGGGCAGGGAGAAGAGATAAATCTCCTCCAATGATTTAATCTTCATATCTTTCACCAGGCGGCCCAGTTTGGTGACAGGGAGCCACTCCTTGTCCTCGGCTTTGCCTCCTCGAGCTCCACGGACCCTCCCACGGCCCCGTCCATGGCTGCGGCCCTGACCCCGCAGACCGCGACCGAAGCCTCCGCGGAAACCGCCGCGGGCTCCCATCCCAGGGCCCCCAGGGCCTCCAGGCCCTCCCGCTGCACCGGCGTCATCCGCCATTTGGTGTTTTCTCAGAAAAGCAGATGTATTTTTGTAAGCTTCTAAGACCCTAGTTGCTGCTCACGAAAGTGAACCAAAAGTGTTTCAAGCAAGTTTGTTTTCAGAAAGTTGTTCAATAAAGTTTGTGTCATTTGCATAACACAGTTTGTTGATGAATCTTCTTCTGATCCTGGTTCCATATTCTTCTATATGCATGAATTAAAAATTTGAGAAACTGTCATTTCATGGAACTACATGGATCCTGCAGCTCATGCCATCACCTTTGTGGTATCTTAAAGCTTTTTCCTTTTCTTACATTATGCTCAATTCATCAGAAAATCCTGTTGACCCGTTCTTCAACATTTATCTCATAGTGTAACATCTACATTGGCACCATTCAGTATGAATCAATTCCCACAGCTACCCCACCCCATATCATTTAATATATTGTCTTCCTTGATTTTTCTGTTTTTAATTCTTTATCTTCCAGAGAACAGTGATCTTAAAGAGTGTGGAAATTATCAAACAGTATCATTGATATCACATGCAAGCACAATTCTGTTGAAGATTATCCAAAAACGACTGAAACAGCACATCAACAGAGAACTACCTGAAGTGGAGGCTAGATTTATAAGAGTCATTTAGAGAGATTTTGGATTTCCATTCATTCATTGCTGCACTTTTTTCCCTGCCCAGTCCTCCCCCACCACCCCAAGTTCACTCCTTTCTTTGAAAAGTAAAAGAAAAATTCTAAAATTCTTTCATTGGTATACAATCCCCCCTCTGCCCCCAAGTACACTCCACTATGCAACCTTAATTCTGGACTCTTGTGATAACCATAATACCCTCTCATATATCGCTTTTAAATTGTTCTCTCGCTCATCTGTTTCAATGCAGTATACATAATTTATCCAGTTTTTCTCAGTCTTACCCAACCCTGATGTCAGTCCCATTCTACAACAGTGGCACCATGCAGTATTTGT